AATTTATGAGCAACATGAGTGACCCACATAATTGGAGCTACTTTAAAGAATCCAACAATTTTTAATTCAGGAAGTCTTTTGACGGTAGTCTGGACTAGTCTGAGGTTTGAGGCTCAGAACGATGTTTCTTGTGAGAACTTTTGAGCACTTAACATCATGAATGCGTCAATATATATTTTATACTTCGTCAGCAATTTTGCAGCTATTGTCAACAATGTGATCAATATCTGATGGCTTTCACAGGAAACTAAGCCTTACTTACCCAGTTTCTACCCTGTGAGGATTCCAGGGCTAGGGCATTATTTGTGCCTCTCTCATGATGCTGTTCACAAGATGAGACTGCCATGGTTATCTGGTGGTCATGCATGTAACCGATGACACGTCACTGTTGTCAGATATCCTGGCGTGGCGCTGATGATTTCAATCACTAGTTCTCATATCAAAAGTACATTATTTATGAGCTGGTGTGAGTAGACAGACATCGTCTGGATTTTCTTTTCATGTCAAAGAACTTTATCCGGAACAATGTTAAAAGTATAGCTTTATTAACTCTGTTACCAACTGATGGATTTATGGCAGGCTGGGGATTCATTCTCCAACTCAACTTAGCACTATATTGTTCCAATGTAGCTGCTATACTGTAACAATGATTTACGATAGTTCTAACATTGCTGTGTTAGACAAGGCCCTGTTTTAAGACAAGTTCTTATTTCAGTACATGTACTTGTAACCGTGAAGCCTTTTATATTACATGTTTATCGATTATATACAGCAAAGGCGGATCCAGAAGGGGGGTGCAGGGGTGTGCACCCCCCCTTTTGTGCTTAATGTTTGTTAAATGACCATTGAAACTCGGGTGAAAATGAAGTGTGCACCCCTCCTTTCTCAATAGTGTGCACCCCCCTTTCTCAAAAAGCTGTATCCGCCCCTGTACAGTGTGATCGGTACTTCTGGTTGTACAATTATGTAAATATGGCCTGCAAGATGGAATCATATGAGGTCCTGTGCATACATTATCCTTGGTGATGTTTGTGTGGCATTTTTTATGAATATTTTGTTTTGCAAACTATGTGTGCGACAAACCGAAAAGAAAGTTAGAAAGTGTGATTTGATTTTGAGCCATAGTATTTATTTTCTTTGCCTTTCATTGCGGTAACTGCTACTTCTACTTATGTGACATAAGATATAGCCTGATATCTATATGTCAAGCAAAACTAACAAACATCACCCCCTGTGAAGATCCGGGGTAGAGTTGGTTCCCAGCAACCCTATGTTTGTCGAGAGGCAATTAAATGGATTGGGTAGCTGGCTGTGTGACATCAAGTTGATGGTCTGGTGTGTTGCTCACCCTATCAATCACTGGATTGTCTGGTCAGTACTCAGTATTACTTACCAGTCTCCCTATGATAGCTTGACTAGAACTGTATACAGCATTAAACAATATAATAAAAACATGAATCAGATGTTGATTGAGAAGTAATATAAGAGGTAACATGTGGACGGCTTTGCAGGTATTGCGAGATTGTTGTTGTCCTCATACCCAGAAGCTGGCTTGTTGCTCACCGATCAATCACAGGATTGTCTGGTCCATAGCTGACTATTTCTATGCTGCTATTACACAGCTGGCATTTACCTGGGTCTGGTGTTAAACAACAAACTAGCGCTAAAACTAGAAAGACTGAAAAATGGGTGTGTTCAGAGTACCTCCTCTGGATATGACTCAAACTGTTTAGTCATATTGCCATGTCAAAGTATTATGAGTGGAAGACCACCCTCGGCAGTCAATCTCTTCTGCTATACATGTATGTGTCTGTTAAATACCTTTCATTAATTAGTAATTACAGTATTAAATCAGTTTCAATGGTGCTGTCATAAAGTTTTATAGCCAAGCTTCTTTTATGCCCCTGTTTTGAAAATATTGTTATAGAGTTTTTCATATGATCCACTTAATTTGCAGAAAAAATGCATGAAAAAGTGTCATTCACTGCAGAAGACTAGACCACCAGGGGCTGATGGCTGTATGGTCATTAACCCAGAACTCATTAATTTCATCAATTCAGAATTGGAAGTTTTCACGTAAAAAATTCTAAAACAACATTAACTTAATACGAAAGTAATTTAGATGCAATATGTGCTTGCAATACCTGTGCAACTGTCATATAAATCTTATATTGCATGTGATCAAAGCATATTTACCTGAATTGCATAGATAATCTGGCTTGAAAAGTCACAGTTGGTATTTACAGCTTTATATCGCCTCTACAGAGAGGCCCATAACAGCCTGGGACACTTGAGTGAGACGGGAACATTCTCTCATTTCAAAGCAACTTGAGATAATGTGTCCTAGTTTCACGCTGATCCATAGACGTTTTGTGGATGATGAAATATTTTCAACCCATAGAATAGTTAGATATATTAAAAACACAATTTAGGAGCTAATATGAATTCTATTTTGCCTGTGTCATTATCAATTAAATCATTAAAATTATGTATAAATTTTTATCTGTCGGTCATCTTAGGCCAAAATAAAAGTTTTGGTTGTTTTATAAATGCGTTGAAATTACATAGGTTTGTGTGAAATCCATTCTGGTCTCCCCTGTTGTGATATTGCTGGGGGGGCGGTGGGGTAGCCTAGTGGTTAAAGCGTTGGTTCGTCACGCTGAAGACCCAGGTTCGATTCCCCTCATGGGCACAATGTGTGAAGCCCATTTCTGGTGTCCCCCACCATGATATTGCTGGAATATTGCTGCCAGCAGTGTAAAATCCAACTCACTCTCACTCACTCACTCACTCCTATCAATGACCCACCCACCCATTCACTACCCTCTCACTCACTTAAAGGATTAGGCAAATATTTTTTATTTCATTCCAATAGTAGTTATTATCACTTGTGACTGTCTAAGTGGGATATTCGTCACGATATGGCTGAAATATTGCCGATGTGACGTTAAACAATAACTCACTCACTCACTAAGTGGGATATGGTCACAAACAGTAACGTAATAACTGTGATGCGTGATAATATCTCATGGTGGACAGCCTGAGAATACTTGTCCAACAAAAAATACCTGGATACCTGACAAAAGTTTATTATTGGACAATATGTTGGTGACAGATAGTAAACTGTTTGGCAAGTAGATACCCATGTTGATGATGTCTAAAAATGAGACCCAAAATATATGGTTATTTCAGATGATGTTATTGATACTGATTTGAGCCTTGATATTTCGTGCATCATATCAATGACAACTGACGCTCTCCAGGAACATGAGAGTTGCAGGTACACAGTATTGAGCAGAATGAAGTGGGAATTTCCAGGTGTATGTGGGGCAGTGGGGTAGTCTAGTGGTTAAAGCATCCGCTTGTCATGCTGAAGACCTGGGTTTGATTTCCCACATGGACACAGTGTGTGAAGCCCATTTCTGATACTGCTGGAATATTGCTAATAGAGGTGTAAAACTAAACTCACTCACTCACCCATGTGCATGTGTTGTTTCACCCAGTAGTGTATTACAGTTGAGTTGAGTTGGGCTTTACGTCACATCGGCATTATTCCAGCTATATAGTGACGAGTATTACACCTTGACAACAGACTACCTTCATTTTTGATAATACCTTTATGACTAATAGCATGTTGGTAACTGAAAATAGTAATTAGTCCCTCGCTGCCCTGCCCACCCACCAACAGCCTGACAACCTTCCTACCCCCTACCCTTAAAACCCACTATCCTCATATTCACTACCACACTACACACTATTCCACAACCCTTCTCACCCTACCTACTTCCCCACTTCTCACTATCCTCTTATCTACTACCCTACTACCCTCCTAACCCATTAGCCTCTTCACTCCTACCCTCTGTTGCACTACTTGCTTCACACTATCCCCTGACACTCCTTCCTACTACCCCAATGCTCACTACCCTATTACCCACACCCTCCTAATCCACTATCTACTTCCCCCCTACCCACTACCACACTTCTCACTACCCTTTAACTCACTACCCCACGTCCCTCATACCCACTACTGCCCTACTTACTATCCACAATCTCAACACCTCCTACCCCCAACCTATTACCATTTCTCACTACCCTCTTATACTCTACCCCACTTCCCCCTACCCACTACCACACTTCTCACTACCCTCAAACTCACTACCCCACATCCCTCATACCCACTACTGCCCTACTTACTATCCACAATCTCAACACCTCCTACCCCCAACCTATTACCATTTCTCACTACCCTCTTATACTCTACCCCACTTCCCCCTACCCACTACCACACTTCTCACTACCCTCAAACTCACTACCCCACGTCCCTCATACCCACTACTGCCCTACTTACTATCCACAATCTCAACACCTCCTACCCCCAACCTATTACCATACTACTCACTACCCTCTTATCCTCTACCCCACTTCTCTCCTACCCACTACCACACTTCTCACTACCCTTTAACTCACTACCCCACTTCTCTCCTACCCACTACCACACTTCTCACGACCCTCAAACTCACTACCCCATCGCCCCTCATACCCACTACCACACTTCTCCTACTTACCCAATCTTAACACCTCCTACCCCCAACCTATTACCATACTACTCACTACCCTCTTATCCTCTACCCCACTTCTCTCCTACCCACTACAACACTTCTCACTACCCTTTAACTCACTACCCCACTTCTCTCCTACCCACTATCACACTACCCACTATCAATGACCCTACCACCCCATTACTAACCACCCTCTTACCTCCTACCAACTTCCTTTCAACCAACTAATGCACTATTCACTACCCACTGCCTACGACTCCACTATCCAACTACCCTCCCAACCCATGTCCCACAACCCCACTTATGGCAAGCCATTGCCTGCAATCACATGAATCTAGTAAGTACATTACATATTCTGTTGTTATTTCAGACTAGTTCAGGTGTAAGAAATGTGTATTTAATACAAGAGTTCATGCTGATAATGCTTTGTTGATTTTCTAGGAAATAAGTCGACGTGACAAGGAGAAAAAACAATCCTGACATGGTGGATTTGGAAGCTGTCTTGAATATGTAAGTGTGTTTCATTGAAGCATTTGGTATGATCTGAAATATCCCTAATATAACCAATTTCTGATGTCAGAAACATAATTGAAGTCCAATGTCATTTGATTATGAGGTAACCCTTTGTATTGCCAACAAATATAAGATAAACAACTAGTTGTGTAGTAGTTAAAGTGCTGGCTTGTCACACCAAACACCTTAAATGGTTGGAACACTACAAGAAGTGGTGTAACAGCACTCACTCACTCACTCTCACTCTCTCTCTCACTCACTCACTCACTCACTCACTCACTCACTCACTCACTCACTCACTCGTCTGGGTGGCATAGATTTTACTACGTGGATAAGTAGTTGCATTTATATTTACCAAAATATTTATTGATAAAAGCTAAATTGTTTTGACATTGCCTGTTGAGGTTAATATGAAAGTTTATGTACATATTCCATCAAAACAACATGCCTGTTTATTTCCGAAAACAATTCCGCAAAAGTACTTTTGTTGAGTGATTGACAAAAGTTTAGTGACTTGTTCTCAATTTACCTCTCACAAGGAAACGTGACCGGCAATTACACGACCTTGCCATTGGCTAACCTCGCCCACAGTTCCTGTAAATATTTTTTCCGTGAAAGAGCCATGCGACTGTGGAGTAAACAGAAAACCAGAAGCTACAGGCAGTATGGAATCCCACCTCCTGCCTAGGTTGAAAGTCATATGAAAATACTGCAGCCATTCTCCGATGGTCTTGTCCATATTGTTATTGGAAAAGTTTCTGCAGAAAAGTTATGAAGGGATTATGTATGATTATGTCTCTATTTTAAACACCAGTTTAAAATTGACCATTTCTTGTATACCATATAGTACCGTAGATAAGCCGATCTCATAGATAAGCCAAGGTCCCTTAAAACTTCACCCTTAAAATCTGTATCAAAATTGTATGTTTCGTAGGTAAGCCAACCATCAACCTTCGCTCATCTTTTTGTCGTGATCAGACATCGGATCTCGTAATAAAACATGTTCTTTGCATATCTGGACTTATGATTGCAATCTAGTTTATTAATTTTACTCAAAATGTCAAAAAAGAATGTTTATATCATCTGCAGTGAAATCGTGTGTCCCTCCCATATTTATAACTTCGGCCTGTATTTTTCACAGCAATCACTATCATATTGCGTCTGCTCATGCCTCGAAATGAAGTGTAGTTGACACAAGATGGATACGTATGCATATTTTGCTTCGCTAAATTGTATAATTACTGTCATATGAGCGACATATTGAGGACTTGGCATAAAACAGGTTTCACTCTTCCACTTTAAGGTGAATCACCTCGGTAACATGACTTGAATATTGTTGATTTGGCATAAAACAACTTTCACTTATTGACTTAAGATGAATCACCTTGGTAATGTGACTTCAATAGTGCTGACTTGGCAAAAGACAATTTTCACTCAATTATTTTGAGGTGATTCTTCTTGGTAATATGGCTGAAATATTGCCAACTTGGCATAAAACAGCCTTCTAGCATTTATTCACTTTTGAGGTATTAGCCTCCATGCTATGACTGCAATATTGTCAGGCATTAAACATCTTCCTCTCACTCACACTCTTAAGTATAACTTACTATAATATAAACTTAGTTTTTTTTCATGTATTTTGTTTTACGTGTCACTATGGAATTTTATTCAAATTTTCTTGTTACTTTGATAATGTTAAAATGCAGAATAATGTCATGCCAGAATCATTGTCCCTAAAGTTATTTTAGGAATAACACTGTTTCCGTTTAACTAGCTCAGTGCTTTAACCTGCTCTCCAATGTTGAGTTTGCTTGTGTGCTGAATCTCATTGAGTTTCGAGTCTTTCCTTGAAATTGTGAAGGAATATCTCAAATTCTTTTTTATCGGCTCTAATTTCTAGCAGTGATTGGCTGAACTAATGTGAATGAGCAGCACTGGTATAGAATATCAAGAGCCAGACAAAACATCCACCTTGGCTCTGACCTGCTACAACCTCCGAACTCTAACATAAACCTGTAATTTACCTGTCTGCCCTTGGGAGCATCTCACAAAGTTTGTTTAAATTTTATTCTTCTTAAAGCTATAAAAATGTATTTATATTAGCAATCAGCAGACTAAGTTCGGGCTAACTGGTAAGGAAATATTTCAATGTCATTTAGGTTGTTTTGAGTGGTATTGACAATTTTATAGCAAGCAAAATGTTATCCATGGTGTTTTGAGAACACCCCCACGTAGGTGAGAAACAGTATTTAGTCTTTAACTTAATCATCTTCATCAATGTCAAATTTTAAACACCTACATGGAGAATACTTTATTACAACTTGTTAAGATAAGATCTCAATCAGACCTTGCCGTGTAGAATTTTGACACTTGAATAAAAAGATCTGTTATCAAAGTCTCATTATTTCCCTATGTAAATCATGCATATCAGAACTGGTAATTGAGACTGGCCTCGGGTGATACTGAGAAACGCTGCTGACGTTGATTGAATGTTGGAAATTGGAGTGAAAAACTAAGATTCCAATTTCTACCTGAAATGGTCAGGTTTCACGGGCTGGTACGATCAGATTGATTTTTAGCATATCAATTCCAGGTACACCTTCAATGTTTTATCATGTAAAGAAAATGAGAAATTGGCTTTAACAAAAACAATATTGATGTAATTTTTAGAAAGACATTTTAATTTTGAGCTACAGTATCTTGAGGCTTGAGGCTTTACTGATTTTTTCAATGAGGTAATTGTAAGTTGAAAATCATTTTGTATATTTCATTACTATAATAATGCATACAACTTTTGGATGACAACTTCTTGTGAAAATCTGAAACGTTGCTGTATGCAATAAACAAGAAGCTGTCATCCATGAAGTCGTATGTTTTATTATTGACTCACCAACTTCTAGAATGTCGATCAAACAATATTTCATTACTTTTTCTTAATAAGGCAGTTTTATAGGTTATTGCATATGTGACTATACAATGAAGAATTATGTTACGAATTCATTTTCAGATCACATTGCATAATTCAATTCTGCCGTGAAGAATATTGAAAATTAAAATTTATTATGAATGTACTGGTATATACTCTGTGCAGGGTTTTACACTTTGTGCAAATGTTTGTCCAGTTTGCACAAATGTAGAGAAAGGACACAGAAAAGTAGTTCACTGCGTCCTGAGGGACGCACAATATTATTCATTGTATCCACAACACATCTAAGTTTGGTAAGTGTTTAGTTGTTTCTTTCAGGACAGTTACTTGCATCATTGCTTGATAATTCACCCATCAGTCCTCATGATCAATGATTCATTATCCAAACATACAGATCTCTAAACCGTTACTGCATAGGACCCTCATATTACCTGCAAGGACCCTTAAAAGTAATAATTGGGGGTGCCCAGACCTCAATGTTTGTGAGGGGTGGTTAAAACCTGCTCCATGGATATATTTTCTGAACTGACCCAGACTCGTGACTTCTATCTTCAGAGGGGGGCACCTGTGGCTGAGTTGCATAGGGCACCAGGAAGTGCCTTCATGGTTTGAGTCTTGGGTTTCCCTGTTTCAGCACAACACCTTCTCATGGGTTTCATCCCAGTGGTTAAAGTCTCAGACCTGTATAACCAGGGGATTTCCCCTACAGTGAGCTGACACGTTGTGATGTAAGTTAGATACTGATCAAAGTTGGATTAAAACCAACTCACTCACTCTGGCATCAGATATATGTGTTTTTCTGATGGGTCCAGAATAAGCACAACCTATGTTATTAGTTACGTGAATTTCAAATTAAAGGTTCTTCCTGTTTCCATCTTGTGTTCTTTGGTTCTTTTGAAAAACTAGAGTCAATTTGCAATTTCTCTTGAATCTTTTTTGAATTTGTAGCTAATGTAAAAAACCCACCCTGTCATATTCAAAATGAGCAAAATTACTCTCAAGACAAATGGTTTCTCAGAGCGATCAATTATGCCCATGTTAACAATTCCTTTAACCTTAATATAAAGAATACAGGACCTTTGATATTTTATGAAACTGTCGACATTCACAACAGAAATGCGTTTTTGTTTCTAACAGTGAGGTGAGAGAAGCTAATAAATCACATCGCGGGTTGAAACTAAAGCCAGAGCAAGTGTATGGGGTATTTGGCTTATTATTGCTTGAATGGGATTAGCAAGCATGTATTTGTTCCTCAACCAACTGGAACTGTGACTTTTCTTATCACAAGATGGACAACAAAAGGAGAATTTAAGATTGCTGATATTTGCCTTGATAGTGACAATTTAAAGCCTGTAGGAGCTGGGAACGGGTCAGTAAACCAACAGATTGCAATTGTTCATTAGGAAGATAGTATTTCACAAACCTTGAGGTGCATATGCCTTTCAACATGTTTACAGCCCCATCCCATGTTTGGGTTTTGTTCGACTTGAATCAGAAGTAAGGTGATTCCGATGTATTTTAAGAATTGCTATATTCTCACGGAAGATGCAGATTTGTCAGATTTGCATATCAATCATTGCACTCATGGACTAACAGAACGAACTGCAATTTGCCAGTAGTCTGTGCGAGGGTCGTCTAAGATCTTAGAAATATCTGCCACTTTCAAATTTAATATGTTTTAAGACTTTACAAGAGGTGGTGTTTGGTCTGGGTTTGAAATACACATTGGTTTATATTTGGTCTGTATTGAACACTTTCAGATACTTCACCTTCCACAAAACCTCTCTCCCTATTGTACACATAATGCAATCATTGCCGAGTCAATGCTGTCATAGATGACATATTTGATTGAGAGTGTTTAAGAGAGTCGGACAGATTTGGCTACATGCTACTCCACAAAATCTGCTCTCCATGAATCATAACTCCAAAATATTTTTGTCTGAAATCTAACAAATAAGCCCACCTGGTTTCCCCTGGTTATTTGTTCAGCCCCAGAATAGCTACTGACTAGAGTAGGTTGTGATTTAACAAGACTCGATCACCATATCAATAATTGTATGAGGGAGTGTTT